TCCTGTACTGTGACCGCCTCCTCGAACGCAGCAGTAGCTCAGTTCACTGAGACCTACTAGCTTTAGGAAACCAGGAGCATATATCCCTAGTGCGCTACCTCGCAGACACTGCAGCTGCCGAGAACAATACTCCGACACCAGCCGACATTAATATCGTTTTTAAAAACATGGATAACTACGCCGACCATCTCACAGACGAAGAGATAAGCCTGTGTACAGAGTTCCGCGAAGGAAGGGAAGTCTCTGAACACTACCTCCAGGACCCCGACCAAGTGCTACAAATGACAGCGGAGGACAAGGAGGAACACTTTATAGCTGAAAAGTTCGTCTTTCGAGATCTACAGAGAATGATTACCTCATGTTCCGAGTCGCGAAGCGAACATTGTCTTGGCAACTACATCCTCCCTCCTAGACACCACCGCCCCTGGGGGCTTCTTCACAAAGCTCTCCTCGTTCAAGGTCCTCATAGGCGATGAGACTTTGCAGATACCAGAGGCCGTGCTCGCAGTCTGGCCGTCCGCTTACCGAAAGTCCGTCATATCTATGTCGGAGACGTCCATCAACTACCCCACACAAAATCTCATCGAACGCCCTAATAGAGTAGCTTACAACGGGGCGTTTGTAAGTGGACTGTGCCGCGAAGATCGCCAGATGTTGTTCTCCATCATGCATTTTCCCCACTCTTCACCCCATTCATGCTCATTGATGTCCCCTTAGTTGCTACGCGAGCACAGGGCAAATCTTTGTTCAATGAGAGAGAAGCCAAAATTTGTTGGGATCTAGTGGATCTTCTCCTTACCTTAGGGATATCTTGATTTCGTTTTGATCACATTTTACAGAAAACAATATCGCCGCCTACGCCAAACAGCCACCGACATGTGAGTCGAACTTACAACAGTGGACACCATTCAAGGACGAGGAAAGGAGGTGGTAATCCTACTGACAACACATACTGAAATTGACCCAGATTCAGCCGAGTTCCTTACGACTACCGCCGAATGAATGTGGCGATTTCGCGTTGCCGTGG